ACCGACTGCAGAATATGTTTCAAATTTTTGCTTCTTATTGTCTTAATTTTTTATAATTGAAAATCTATTGAAATATTTTCATTATAAAAACAGGAAAAAAATTTAAATTCTGACTTGAAATCAGAGAAAAAGAAAATAAAATTTTTTGTGGCAATCCTGATTATAAGTGACTATAATTCAGATTTAGAGAATAGTGGATGATAGTAAATTATTCATAATGTTTACAGATATATAAATAATTGAACATTATATGATAATAAATTGTTGATATAAAAGTATATATATATATATATAATAGAGATTTAGATAAATTTATAAGAATCAGCGTCGGGGTGTCTGATGCTTTTATAAATCTAACTGAATTCAGTTAGATTATATATTGTTTAGCACATTTGAAAGTTGTGATAGAAATACGTATATATATGTTATAATCATTTTGATTTGAAAATATTATAATATGTACTGTATGTACATATATATATATATATATATATACAAGTGCAAAATGCTTTCGTAGCTGTACAGAAAGTATAGAAATAGAGATAGTACATATCTCATGACTCTCATTCATATCCCACTGTGAGAAAAGATATAGGCTTAATCTGCAATTATTTGCTTGCATTACATGCGCGTTTTGTTACTTTTTTCTCTTCTGATGCTCTTAGAGAATATTCATATATATCGACTGATAACTATCGATATACGATATATCGACTTCAATTTGCCACTTCGTTATATATCTCGCACGCGTTCATGATTGCCCAATATCACTAATATAGTGATAATTATAATACATATATAGCGCCAAAAACACTCACGATTTTCAAGCCCATCACAGAAAATTAAAAGGCATTAAAATCAACTGCAACGCTTCTTATTTTAATCCAATTTTGTTTATTTTAATCCATTTTGGTATTAAAATAAGCAAAATTGTATTAAAATAATAAGCGTTGCAGCTGATTTTAATGCCTTTTAATTTTCTGTGATATTGTACGTTCCCTTGTAATTTTATTCTCCCGAAGAGCTTCCTGGAAATTCCGTTTGAAATCCAATGGAATTCCATAATGAAATTATTATTGTCATTAAAATAAGACAAAAACTATAAAATTCTTTCACGCTCCTTTTCGAATAGCTAAATTTTAGTAATATATATCAATCCGAAATTAAATTTTGATCTTTTTAAATTGTAAAATTTCATTCTAAATCCAAATTAATCCGTACTTCCAAATCAATATTGGATTAATTTGTGTTAATTTGGATACACAGAAAATTAAAAGGCATTAAATTAAGCTGCAACGCTTATTATTTTAATCCAATTTTGCTTATTTTAATCCATTTTGGTATTAAAATAAGCAAAATTGGATTAAAATAATAAGCGTTGCAGCTTATTTTAATACCTTTTAATTTTCTGTGATATAATTCAGAATTCAAAAGGAATAAAATTGTTCTGATGAAAATTTTCACATTTTGGTACTGTTTGTTGTTACATAAACAAATTTTGACGAATTCATAAACGGATTTTTAAGTCATATGAAACATATGAATTTTAGATTTTTTTCTCTCTGTCTTTTTTTTTTGTCATTGTATAAATTATACGTGACATATATGATGACGTGAGGTCACGTGTAAACCTAACGTGGACATAACACCTGGTCTCGTTCTTATCAAAAGTAGACCCATACTTAACATAACCGTCAGCAACGTAGTTTAAACCCTGTTTTTTATACATATAATGTACGCACTGTTCTCCTATATAACTGTTAACCAATTTTCAAATTTTTTTTGTCTGCATTCAAATAACATTCTATTTGTTAATTTAAAATATTAAAAATACTTAAAATATATAGTTTATCTAATCGCATATCAAAATTTCAATTATTTTTCTTGGTTTTTTTTAAGGAAACAAAAAATGCTAGAATTTGGAGATTATTTATGTGGTTTACTCTCTCTCTCTCTCTTTCTCTCTCTCTATGGGAAAGGCGAGGGTGTTAAAATTTTTTTTTCTTTTTTGGGGAATATAAATCTTATGATAAGTTATATAGAAGACGGTTCTCGAGATAAAAGGGATCATTGAGAATCTTTGAAAATCTAGAGATATATATATATATATATATATGGACATACGTCTAATCGATATTGCCACTTGGTCATTGCAAATGACAAGAGTGTTTTTGTGAGTCCAAATAGAGATAAGAGCAACCTCTGCCCTCCGACGTACAAAACCTCTTCCGCTCGTTCATCGACTCCAAAGTCTTCGTTGCGCTACTGCTACCGAAGACTCTCTCTCTTATATTCCCTTATCTCAAAAAATAAAGTATTAAAACAAGGGAATAAAAAGGGGGAAAAGCCAGGACTTATATATATGTGTATAATAATTGTCTGTATGAGCTGCTTAATTATTATAGATTAATCAAAAATTTCGAAACTTTTGTTATTTGAAACAAATATTTATATATATTTTTTCTCTTTTGGATTATTTTTTTAGACAACTTTTTTTTTGGTTATACACTATTCTCTATAGAGTATACATAAAAAATATATTTCTAATAAAATATTTGAATCCGATTGATAGCACAGAAAATTATAAGGTATTAAAATAAGTTGCAACGCTTATTATTTTAATCCAATTTTGCTTATTTTAATACCAAAATGGGTTAAAATAAGCAAAATTGAATTAAAATAATAAGCGTTGCAGCTTATTTGAATGCCTTTTAATTTTCTCGATAATTCTATAGTCATAAACAAATTTTTTAATTGTATAAGGGAATTAAAATTGTTTTTTAGATTTTTAACGTTTTAGCGCGAAAGTTACATATATTATTTGAAATTAGTCGCAAAAAATATGATTGTTTTTTTTATGGAATTGGCTGGTACTCATTATTATAGTCCATCTATATATATATATATATATATATATATATATATATATATATATGATAAGCCAATGAGCCTGACCTTTCCAATTCGATTAGGTAACGTCAATAAGGTCAGCTGAATGTTAAATGGTTTGTAACAATGTCAGCTCATCTAATTAACTTTGTTTCTGACGATGTATCTGCGCTTTCATATATTTCTTATGTTCTTTTTTTTTAAATATTTTTTTTTATCAAACTCTTTCGACTTAATACCAGAAATTTCCAAAGTTCACTATATATACATGCCGCAGTAGTTAATTTTTGATAGGGATATTCTGCGCATTTCTGATATAATTTTTAATTCGAAAATAGTAAAATTTACTATTTCTGGAATAATTTTTCACTATATTTTAGGAGTAAATTTTTCAATTTTCGGAGTAAAAATTATCAGAAATGTGCAGAAACTCCAGACATGTTAAGGTTTTACTTTTAAATTATAGTAAAAGTTATACTTTATTCGTTTTTCTATTTTTTTCCTTAAAAGAAATATTTCTTTGATTCAAAGAAACATTTTTTTCCTTAAAAGAAATATTTCTTTGATTCAAAGAAACATTTTTCTGGGTGTAAAGTATAGAAGTAACTTTTGCTTTTGACTGTCCGTCCGATTCTTCCTAAAAAACTAACCAAAAATAAAGTATATATATAGTAACGAATCTTCAATTCATCCTAACACAGGAAACATATATTATCTTCTAATGATTTTCAATTAAATACGATAACTATATATATTATATACCGCAGTGGATGATAATTCGTGAGTAACTTTAAAACAAAATTTATTATAAATTTAATAGAGTAAAAAAGAAATTATTTATGGTATATATATATATATATATATATATATATATATATATATATATATATATATATATATGAATCAGAGTTACAATCATTCGACTCATTTTAGTAATGGTTGTCCTGACATCGGTTGACCCTTGATGATTAAAAATAATGTTTTTATCTTTTGTGGAGGGAGCAGCATCTCTCTCGCTAACTCACTCTCATACACGCATAATATTTTCTCTCTCTTTGTCGTTCTTTTTTTCTTTTTTCTCTCCTTCTCTCTCTCTCTCTCTCTCTCACACACACTCTTTACATTCAAATCTTCTGTCTCGGTCATGCGTATTTATTCTCACATAAATGTGTTCATCTGTCTGCCTATGTACATACGTTCACGACGAGCAGGCAAGGAAAGATAAGGGAACCACTGTTATTTTTGTACTATAGCCGGATAGCAACAGTGTATATATGTCTTCGCAGGCTTCGAGGATATGCGATTTTTCTTCCACTTAAAAAAAAAATGAATTAAACCTTTAAAATTTTTAAATATAGATTTTATTATTATTTTGTTACTTCTTTTATAATTAAACATTTTTTTCGTCGAGGAAAAATCTAAAAATCCCATGGGATTCGAACTCTTCATTTATCAACGCAAATCGAGAACGCTAACCACTAGACTACGATCATTATACGAGATCAATTTCTGAATTTATAGTTTTTTTAAGGTACAAACTTTAAGTACATCGATTTTTGATAGAGCCGCAAACAAATTTTAATTGTGTAGTTATCTAAATTAGAACCGGTTTTTTTTCATTAAAATTTAAATTGAAAATAACTATCGTAGGTTATTTTTTTGAGGGGGGGAGAAATGTTTAACATAAATAAAATTCTATTGATCCCGAATTCTATAGATCGAGATTTTGATATATATCTGAAGTTTGAACCTTGTACCTCACATATAGAGGTTGTGTAATGTTTAACAACTTTATCAGTTTTGTTATTGTCGTATACGCATAGTTTTCATGGTTTTCTTTCAAAGAAACAAAAATCGTTTATTATCGCTCATCAAAATACCCACAGAAATTATTATAATAAGAAATAAATTCTGCCACGGAAAAAATGTAACATAGAAACAGCGAAAATTTCTACGATAATAGTAAAAATTTAATTGTTCCAATTGTTCCAAATAAATCTTTGACATTTAAACATCTGATTAATTCGTCTTAAAGATTATATTATTATTATATTATTCCATATGTAATTCTAAGAAATTATTTGTAATTAAATTTTTGTTTTTTGTTCCAGTTTTGGAGTATGTGGAATCAACAGAAGATGATCGAACATTGCAAAATGAAAGAGAAACAATTTTGGTGGATGCTGCAACATTGGCTGATGAAAATAATGTTGAGATTGTAAAAAACAAAAATTATAATGTTCTTCGGGAACTTGATCAACATCAACAGCAAATTGGTTATTCAAGTGCTGCTGAAGAAGGTGGAGACGGCGTGGGCGTGTTGGAGGCGGGTCAACCGGAAACAGAAAATGGCGGTTTAGTTGAGGCAACTGTTGTTGAATCGGTGGCAGCACCGGTTGTTGCATCAGTTACCGATCTTGAGGACAATACAAATCTTACATCGTATACCCTCATCAGACAATTGGGCTATCATCCAACTCAACACATCATTCATGAGAGGTAAGTTTGAAAAAAAATTTGCGTTTTTAAATCTATATATCATGTATACCATAATCCCATATTATGTTATCATTCAATATTATTCTAATTAAATTGAGATCATTTTTGTAATTGTTACGCGTTACGTTACGTTATAATGCGTTACGGATTATCTATAAGTTAAATTTTAATAAATTGTAACATATAAATATTAGACTTACTGTTTTTTAACTTTATTTTTGTTTTAAAGCATTATGGTAACGTAACGCGTTACCACATGTAACTAACTCTCTAAATCTGAATTAGTAACAATTTTAACTAATTTGAATTAGTGACTCACTTTTTGCTTTTGAATTAGTATTTAACTAATTAATATGTATAGTAAAAGATAAATTCTTATTTTAACTATTGAATTAGTATTTAATAATTTAAATGCGAAATATGATTCGCTAATTCAAATCAGTTAAAATTTTTACTAATTCGAATTTGGAGAGTAAGGTACAAATAAACAAATTTTTAATTAAATTTAAAATTACTATAAATACTAAAGTAACGTTATTTATTTAAAAAGTATTGCGAAATATTCTGAAGTATCTTGAAGTATTTTAAATTATCTAAAGTATCCTGAATTATCTTGAAGTATTTTAAATTATCTGAATTATCCTGAATTATCTTGAAGTATTCTAAATTATCTGAAGTATTCTGAATTATCTGAAGTATTCTGAATTATCTTGAAGTACTTAAAGTAACGTGAATTATCTTTATTATATTAGAAAATATCCTGAAATATTCTGAATTATCTTTAAGTATTTGAAATATTTTGAATTATCTGAAGTATCGTAAAATATCCTGAAATATACTGAATTATTCTGCAAAATTTTTGAAATATCCCAAATTATCTTGAATTATTTAAAGTATTTTGAATTATCTGAAGTATCCTAAATTTATTTTGAAGTATTTTGAATTATTTAAAGTAACGTGAATTATCTTTAGTATCGTAAAATATTTTGAATTATCTGAAGTATCCTAAATTATCTTGAAGTATTTGTAGTATTTTTGGAATTATCTTAACTATACTGAATTATCTAAAGTAATGCTTATTATTTAAATTATTGTAAAATATCCTGAATTAACTAGATATATTTTGAAATATCCTGAATTATTTTGAAGTATTTTGAATTATCTGAAGTATCCTATATATATGAGGTATCATAAAATAGCCTTGAAGTACCTTGAAGTGTTACGCAAATCTCACAGTTGCAGCTTTTCAAGTTTATCTATAATGTTTACAAGCATTTGCAGTAGGAGTGTAATTTGAATCATATATATATAACTTATGACAAGGATTATAACACCTGATAAAGTGATAGTTATAATCTACATCTAATCTTCGATATATAGTGTTATAAATAATCTAAGGTTATCTTCTTTTCTTTTCCCCTAATTACAGGACATTTTTAACACAAAATGACAATTCATCGAGTTATCATCATCATCAACATCATCTAGGGGATAATTTAAGGGAGGAGCAACAGCAACAGGTCTCTCATCCCCACCAACAGCAATCCTCGCATCACGAAGAGCATGAGCACATCGGACAAGAGCAACAACAGCAGCAGCAGTACGTGCAACTTGGGGCGGGAGAAATTCCGGTTATTCCTGCGGGAGGGGATAGCCGCTTAAACCCGACGGAGGTCTCCGTCCCGTCGGAAGGGAATCGCCTTGCCAGTCACATGCCTCATTCCAACACGATGCATCGATACGGTATCGAGACGCTCTCACCGGCGACTGAGCATCATCATCACCATCATCATCATCATCTAACTAATCTTGCCATTAATTTACGACAAATTGAAGATCATAATAATCATCATCATCATCATCAACAACAACAACAGGATCCCGACAATGATGATGATGAAAGAGTTAATATCGCAATGCGTACTCCAATTAGAGGTGATTATTCATTAGGTAATATATTTCCTAATATAACAACTGCCGGTACAACGACAGAAACTGGAAACAATAATAGTGGTGATGAACATCAACAACATCATCATTCACATCTTGACGATGTTGTTCTTCATGATGATCCATATCTTCAACATCAAATTCGTGGATCATCAAATACAGTAACTGGAACGACAACAAGTGCAGGTGGTGTGTCACCACAAGTTACTAATACTGTTCGTGCATCGGGCAGTTCACCAGGATCAAGTAGAAGTCCTCATGATGATCAGGGATTGTCGCCATCGCATCGTCACGTGCAACAACAACAACAACAGGATGACGGCTACAGTCCCAATGATCAAGGTCGTCTTCAATCACTCACGCATTTAACGACAATGCAACCACCTTTAACATCAGTGCAGACAAGTCAAGGTCTTCAGGATTCAGGACGAGTGTCGGCTGAACATATTTACATTGATTCAATGTATGGAACACATCCGACGGGTACATCACATCATCATCATCATCATCAGGAACATGAACAAGGACCATCCACACCACCGGGACTTACAAGGTTAGTTCTTCTTCTTCTTTTTTCTTCATTTTGTCGAAAATTTTATGGGCCAATCATAAACCACACTCAGAAAAAAGATATATGTTTGAACCAAATGTACCATTTTTTTATATTTATACCCAATTTTTTGGTTAGTTGAAACAAAATTTGTTTAATTCAAATAAATATTTATTTAATCTAAATAATTGTTTGGTTTATTTTAATAAATTTTTTGAACAAAGAAAAAATTTGATTGAGCTAAATAAACGTTTGGTTTATGCGACCAAATGTTTGGTTAACTTTATATCAATGCATTTTGTTGATTTAACCAAAATTTGGTTGCTTCAAACGAATTTTTTTCTGAGTGCAATTTTTCATTTTTTTAGACCCCCTCCCCATTGTTACCATTGCGTTAAATGTATTTTTATAGACTTTTTACCCCCCCCCCCCTCCAAAGGGAGCAAAAATCAGAGTTTAATTAGTTAATTTCACTCCGTGCACGTGATATTGTTTTTTTAATTATTTTTTTTATTTAAATCAGAAGTTTATATTAATTATAACTAATCATTTTTATTCAATCGATAATTATGTTTAATTAAAAATTAGTAAATATGGCTTTGCTTTAATTTGATAATTTGCCTGCAAATTGTATAGTAAAATCTAAAATTATACACACATTCAAAAAGTATATGATGAACAGCGATAAGTTTCACTGGAACAGTGATATATATATATATTCAATAAAACAGCTAAAGTTTTTGCTATTCTAAAGAAACATATCGCTGTTGCAGATAAAGATTTTTGAATATAGTGAAAACTGAATCATTTTAGAAATAAAATACGTGAAATTTCACTAATTTTCATTATTTAACTAATTTTTTATGATTTAACTATATTAGTAAAATTTTTATTAATTGAAAAATTCATATAAAAAATATTTTAAAAAATTTGATTAAAAATTTGATTAAAAATTTGATTAAAAATTTTATTAAAAAATATTTTTAAATCTATAAAATAATTAAAATAAATCAAAATTAAATGCAAAATATTAATTATAATTAAGGAAAAATAAATGTGATGGAAATTTGTGAATTTTAGCTCATTTTGAAAAAAATGATTATCCGCAAAATGAAAATTGCTTCATTATTTTATATTTCCAAAATTGGTTATAAACGCATCGAGAAACATTTGAATTTTTTTTTTTTTTTTTTTTTTTTTAATGACTCTATAATGATCTATATATATACTTTAATTTCAATATTGTTGTTTAATCTTTTTTTGAGCGGTGAAAATTTTTGAAATTTATATATATTGATGGAAATAGAAATTCATTTAAAAATATTTTCTAAATTTTAAGACGCGGATCATCAGTTAAAAATATAAGAAAATTATTTATTTTTAGTATATATATGTATATAATGGGAACTTTGAACGATTTTTGCATGCGATATTTAATTGAAATTCAATATTTATGAATTTAGTTTTTTTTAAATTATTTTTTTAAATTTGATTAAAAATTTTTTAACTAATTTCTATAATATAAAATTTAGTTAATCAAATTTTTTTTAAATCAAAATTACGAGAATAAGTTAATTACGCTGAAAATCAGTCAAATTTTATGGATATTTAAATTTTGAATTTAATAATAATTAACAATTGTTATTTTTAAAAATATTAATTCATAATGATAATAATAATAATAATGATAATGATAATAATGGTGATTATTAATAATGTTAATTTTTATTGTTTTAATAAATATTCTGATTTACAATATAACTGTAACATTAAAAAATTACTGTTATTATTGTTATTTTTAGCAATTTTTATTAACATTTATTATTATATTAATTATTGTTAACAAAAAATTTTATGAAGTTGAATAATGAATTTTGAGTATCGTAAATAATAAAAATATTTTAGTATATCAAAATAGTAAAAAAAAAAATTCTAAACTATATTTGTAGAATTTAAAAAAAATATGCCTCTAAGTGGCCTCAAATAGTAAAACAATTATTGTTAATTATTTGTTTTCTGTTTAGTAATGATATCCTATAAAGAAATAATTGATTTTCAACAGTTAATTAATAATGCATTTGAGAATTCCTTTTTACGTTTATAACTTCAAGGTTATTTTAAAATATAATTAATTTTTTTTTTTTTAAACAAAATTTTCAAGTTCATTAAGCTCACTGAATTATTATTTACTTCTTAAAAAATAATATACTTCATAACCCGTGTGGAAAAGTGATGTGGGCCCCCAGCGGGGGCCCTTATGGATCGCCCTCATGCCATGAGGGCCGCATATGGATGATCCATAGGGGCCCCTCATGGAAACGACATGCTCATCGATGAGGGCGCCCGCATGGGCGATCCATGAGGGTGCCCCTACGGGCGCCCTTATGGGCCCTCACGTTTGCCCTCATCTTGCCCTCAAGTTTGCCATAATGTTTTTTAATCAATAATATTAATAATAAAAGTTAATTAATAATAAATAAGCTTAAGTTATGAATAAATAACATATTTATTTAATAATTATTCAATTTTAAATTAAATTCTTACTCAAATTGAATTTATTAATTAACGTTCTAATTAATTAACTGTCGGATATAATTAAAAGTAATAATAAATTAATTAATTAAAAAATTAAAAAATATTTAATTTATGCATACTATTAACGGATATTTTCATTTTTCAATTAATTCATACATAGAATTAATGATTAAACGCAAACCTGAGAAATAAATAAATCTAACGCATGGGGGGAATCGAACCTACGACCTACGGACTATGAACCTAACGCTTTACCAACTACGCTACGCACGCTACTTCAAAACGAATGCTAACTTCTTGATGCTATTTAAACTTCAAAAATACCTAACAAAGAAAAGTGCTTAACATCATTTAGTTAAAGTTAAGATATTAAATTATATTTTCCAATCAAATGCAATTTATAAAATATAATTAATTATATGCTTTATGATTATTATCATGAATCATCTCAGGCGAATTTTCAAAAAAGTGTAAATATATTTTTATTAAAAACGCGTTTTTCGTTGTTTTAAATCATTGGAAACATTCATTTTTTGTTGATAAAAAAATATTTGATTTTTGGACTTAGAAAATTTTGCTAATCGATCATGAGGGCGATCCATGCGGGCCCCTACGGTGGCCCTCATCTATTTTGCCATAATTGTGAGTGTTATTTTCAAAAAAGTGTAAATATATTTTTATTAAAAACGCGTTTTTCGTGGTTCTGAATCATTATAAACATTAATTTTTTGGTGATAAAAAAATATTTGATTTTTGGACTTAGAAAATTTTGCTAATCGATCATGAGGGCGATCCATGCGGGGCCCCTACGGTGCCCCTCATGGATTCGCCATAAGTGTGAGTGTTATTTTCAAAAAAAGTGAAAATATATTTTAATTAAAAACGCGTTTTTCATTGTTGTGAATCATTATAAACATTAATTTTTTGGTGATAAAAAAATATTTGATTTTTGGACTTAGAAAATTTTGCTAATCGATCATGAGGGCGATCCATGCGGGGCCCCTACGGTGCCCCTCATGGATTCGCCATAAGTGTGAGTGTTATTTTCAAAAAAAGTGAAAATATATTTTAATTAAAAACGCGTTTTTCATTGTTGTGAATCATTATAAACATTAATTTTTTGGTGATAAAAAAATATTTGACTTTTGGACTTAGAAAATTTTGCTAATCGATCATGAGGGCGATCCATGCGGGCCCCTACGGTGGCCCTCATCTATTTTGCCATAAGTGTGAGTGTTATTTTCAAAAAAGTGTAAATATATTTTTATTAAAAACGCGTTTTTCGTGGTTCTGAATCATTATAAACATTAATTTTTTGGTGATAAAAAAATATTTGATTTTTGGACTTAGAAAATTTTGCTAATCGATCATGAGGGCGATCCATGCGGGGCCCCTACGGTGCCCCTCATGGATTCGCCATATGGATCAGCCCTCATGGGCCCCCGCCGGGGGCCCCGAACTCTTGAGGGCAAGATCGTGGCTTTTTCCACACGGGAATATATAATTTTTTTCGAATCATTTAAAATAAATGGAAGTATTTTTTGCCCCTGGAAACAAAAATTAATAATAAAAATAGAATTAATTTTTTTAAATTAAATATACTTTCTAGTTACATAAATATATATAATAGATTGAAACTGCATATTATTAGCAATGTATAATATCCACCAGGTGACTGTCTTTTTATCATAATTTGCAATGATAAAATGTGTAAATAAATGCCAATATATCAGTCGTGTAAGTCGATTTGTGTAATCGAAATTTTAATTGTTAAGTAGTCTAATTTTCGATTAGTATAGAAAAAATCGTTCAACTTATCATCATTATATATATATATATATATTGTTGTAATCTCATATATTTGTACAACATATTTTTATATATTTTATTTTAATAAGAAAATTTTAAATTATGCTTAATTTATGAAATTGATATATTTTTTTTTTAAATCAAAAATGATACAATTTCAAAAAAAAAAGAGAGAAAAAGGTGTTTTGAAAATAAATTTGTATTTCTTTATATATAAATTTTAAAACATATAACTTTTGTTGGGTTGAAAGATGACGCATATAAAACACCCCCTCCTCCCCTTTGCCACACACTAAAAAAGAGAGGAAGAAAAAGAATATATTTGCCCATAAGCTTATAAGGGCGCACATGGGACTGACGCAAATAAACTTTGAAACGTTTATGAAAAACCGCCGATAGAAAATGATGCCCACTTGAAAATGGCCTATACCAACAATTCTTCAAAAAAACAAAGTGTGTTTTTGTGTTTATTGTTTCACGCGAAATTTCAAGCATATATATATATTTATATATGTATATACATATAACTAAATCATTAAAAACCGGGGAGAAAATCACTTTTTTTCTTCTTCAATTTTTGACTAAAATTTTTTAAATAAAAAATACAATACACATATAAAATTCGAATTTAATGAATGTATGGATTTTTTTTTTTAAAT